CTGTTAATTCCCCTCTCCAAGTTCTCCACTGCCTTAACCGGGCATTGAACCCACATTCTTTGGGTCCCGTCACTGGATCTAACCAACGCCTTTCTCCACAAGGACACAGTGGATAAAGGCCGGAGCTTACAACGTCCGAAACGTTGTAATAAATATGGCGACAAAGATTTTCCAATAATCCGAATAATGTAAATAGTGAACATAACACCATCTCAGAAATATAGACAAATACGGAATATATATATATATATATATATACATATGTATGTATGTATGTATGTATGTGTGTGTGTGTGTGTGTGTCTGTGAATATAATCAAATAGGTAAATATAGGTAACTGGAAGAGCAAGAGTTCGTATACAAATATATATATGTATACGAACGCTTGCTCGTACATTTTAAACACACAAATATATTATATATATATATATATATATTAAAAGAAAAACAGACCACTTTAAGGTACCATTATAATAATTTATTTCACCAGAGCCCTTTTAAAAGGACGCCCGATCATCAGATAGCACTTCCAAAAATGAAACTAAAATTGATGGATAGTGTAAGTTTTTGTAAAACTACTAAGTCTAATTTCAACCAGCAATGTCTATTTAATATTTTATCATATAAAAGCATTAAGTAGCTTGCCGGTTGAATTTAACAAAATCTGTTTATATGAATTCTTCCTCCATATACTCCTTTATATATATATATATATATATATATATATATATATATATATATATATATATATATATATATAATATAAAGTTTTTTGACATTTGGGAAAGCGGAATAATGTGGAATACCCAAATTTATAACATACTATCAACATCGAGAATACATGAATAAAAAACAATTCTTTCATTTATTTTCTACCCATTCTGAAAGATTTCTATCTCGGACACTTAAAGCAAAGAACATAAAGTGTAAAAGGACTCATTTTCTTTCTCTTTTTCAGTCACGAGCAGCGCAAGCTTGTGAAAAATATAAGATTTCATTATTTTAAACACAGACAAATGCAGACACACACAACTCATTTTTTCATCTTCGATCTGATGAAGCCTAACAGACGAAATGCATAGTCAGGTGTTTTTTCGAAACATGCTTTCATGAACGTTTTTTCAAATATCAATAATTCATAACTCTGTTAGGATTATATACCCAAATTTATAACATACCTGTGTGTGTGTGTATATATATATATATATATATATATATATATATATATATATATATATATATATATATGTGTGTGTGTGTGTGTGTTAAATTCTATTTTTTTTTTTTACCATTCTGCGAATTTAAGTTTTACGCCTTAGCAATCTGCAGGAGGTAGGTATGAAACCAGAATTTAACAACAACAAAAAAAAAAAAAAAAAAAAAAAAATAATGCTTATATTTACAAATCTTTGTGTAATACACTGTGGGATTACCCCGACCTTATCTGTCAGAGAAGTCTCTTAATACAACGCCAGCTAGCGGGTGTTAAATTGCATAAAAGGAAAGGACAATACAATTTTAGAATCAACTTTTATTTCTGAATTAATGTATACAGCGGAGAAATGGACAGCGACTCGGATTGAAGAATCGGAGAGCGGAGTTCGAATTCCAGTCGAATCCATTACATTCACTTGCATGCTAATATCCTTGGGAAAGATATGAATCCTCGTTTTCTCCCACCAACTATGGGTAAATAGTAGGGCAGACCGGGTTCTATAGCCTTGGATGGTAACTGGTCTACCGCTGAAAGAAATGGCAACCTACTGCAGGAAAAAAAATCTGCCTCGTCAGTCATGTATTGAAAGATACATGATCGCATAAGCGTGTATCACGCATGGCACACAACTGAATGGAGGCATGGTGGAGTAATGAGTAGCGGCTCGGACTGATGTATCGGAGAGCCGAGTTCGAATCCCAGTTGAATCCATTACATTCACTTAGGTGATAATAAGCTTGGGAAAGGTAGGATTCCTCGTCTTCTCCTCCTAGTTATGGGTAAATAGTAGGACAGACCGGGTTCTGTAGCCATGAATAGTAACTGGTCTACAGCAGAAAGAAATGACACACTTCAAAAGGTCGAACTCTTTAGATTTCACGTGGAACCCATTTATTGAGTTTCTTTACCTTGCCAATTTTCTTGAGATGGTTCGATATTGTAGAAAAGTTGTCACCCACTATTTGAGACATTACTCTGACACTTTGAAGTGTTTTTTTTTTATTCTTCCCATTAATGTTTCAGATTTTAATTGTAGATGAACGCCCTCTACCATCTTGATCTTCAAGACTTGTATCCCTAGTTCGGAACCTCAAAACCCAGCAAAGTACAGCCCTGATCACAAGTGAATCCTTCATCCCATGTTCTGTTAATGTTAGCAGCAGTTTGAGAAGCATTATAGCCAAGCTTGAACTCATGTAAAAAATAAACACATCTCTTCTTTATTCAAGATGGCGGTTACATAAAGTTTTAAAGATAAAATTCTGAAAGCGATTAATATAAAATTAACGAAGAGGACATTAGGAATGTGTACGGCAGCGAATGTTGGACAATTTCCTCAAAGATGAAGAAAATACGCGAGGCGACAGACATGTGGTTCTACAGAAGGATGCTAAGTATATCATGGAGCGAGTGTGTGAGCAACGATGAGGCTTTGGAGAGGATGCAAACAAGGGGGTGGCTTATACTTAATAACAGGAAGAGGCAGCTGAAGTTTCCTGTGACACATAAAGAGGAAGAAAACAATGCATGGTCATCAGTAAGAGGGGGAGCCGAAAATGCGATTTACAGGTCGGGAACACTAGAATCAGGCAAATGCGGAAGTTTAAATATCTGGGAAGCATTTTGACAGAGGATGGTAAGTGCGACACTGAGATCCGTAGACGTATTGGGATGGCCAAGGACGCCATCCAAAAGCTGGGCAGAGTATTGCGAGACAGGAGGATTTCTTTGATAACAAAGAAAAGAATACTGAGATTTTACGTGACATCTGTCCTTCTTTACGGCAGCGAATGCTGGACGATTTCCTCAAAGATGAAGAAGAGGCTCGAGGCGACGGAGATGTGGTTCTACAGAAGGATGCTAAGGATATCATAGACCGAGCGCGTGAGCAACGATCTTAGAGAGGTTGCAAACAAAGAGGGGGCCTATACTTAATATCAGAAAGAGGCAGCTGAAGTTTCTGGAGCACATAAAGAGGAGGGCCTGGAGAATCTGATACTCATGGCTTGAATAAAGAGAAAGAGAGACAAGGGAAAACAACGCGTAACATACCTAGCGGACTTAAGCAAGTGGATGACAGAACGAGGTCTGGGGGAGGAAGCAGAGAGAAGGAACTTGTTGAGAGCTGCAAGGGATAGAGGAAGGTGGAGAGCCATGATCGCCTACGTCCTGAAAGGACATGGCGCATAAAAAGAAAAGAAAGAATATATTTTTGAGCAACTATTATAATAATATATTAGAACACAATTAAAAGATCCATTCTAATATCGCACATTATTATCCGAACAAGTTTTTCCATTGTATAAAATTGTGTCACGTATGTAGAATAACAATACAATAAACAGCACTTACCGGCGTAAGGGTCCCAGCTAGCGTCCAGCTGGCAGGCAAAAATAAAGCAGGTTGTAACTCAATACAAACCCTGCAAATTAACTGATGAATCAAGCTGGTATTTATACAGAAATACCTCCACTCATGTAACAGCAGCCAATCACACCCCAAGCAATGGATTATCCCACTTTAGCACAATGAGATGCTCCATGACACCATAAATAGCTCTCTTAAGGTTGAGTTATTATTCACTCAGCTTGCTCCACAACTGAGTGTTTATCTTGACCGCGTGATTGTTCTACATGGCGCTTGAGAACAAACTTCTGAAAGCGATTGATATAAAACTAACGTTGGAGACACTTTCGTCATAAGGAATGTATAATATATTTTTGAGCAACTATTATAATATGTTAGAACACAGTTAAAAGGTTTATTCTAAAATCGTACATTATTTTCCGCACAACCTGATGGTTTTGCTCTTCTTCTCCCAAGGGGAAACAAATGTCTATTTTTCAATCTTATCTGTCAATTAAGCATTACTTGTCGTCATTATTCACGTGCGTCAAGTTTAATTTTCAAATACACCTGATGATGCCTAGAGGGAAGTAAAGTAAAAGAAAAAGAACCAGAAAAAAAAAACTATCAAAATTAGAAAATGTATCTTAAGGGAAAATTGTTTCGATGAAATCGTTATTTGAAATAGGTTCTTGTTCGTACGTTAATAAGAAATAGCAAAGGGCTTTGAATAAATTTGTATTCTAAAATTAAGGGGTACATATGAACCAGTGGACGTGCGGACAGTACAAAGGTTACCCCGGTGAGGAAAGAGGAAATGGCGAGTCGAGTTTAAACTCCGGCCCAGATTATTCCGTTTCCTTTCGCACTAATACACTTGAGAAAGGAATGAACCAGTCTCTTCTCTCTCTGATTTCCAGGCTATCGGTCGAATAGCAAGATAGGTTAGGTGCACTAGACTTGGGTGGTAGCCAGTGTAACTCTTCAAAACTGTAGAAAAAAGTCAGTGGGAATCCACTCCATTATATTTTCCAAATAGTTCGTGGTAATTGCCAGATCATAAAGAAACAGAATCTGTAGAGATCTGTGATCGTCTACATTCTGAAGAGGCATAAAATTTCATGAAAAAAAAAAAAAAAAAATGATCCAGTTTGTTTATCTGTCTATATCTCCGAGATGAGGTATCATGATTATTCGGGTCATTATCCTCATCTTCATTGCCATATTCCCAACGTTTCGACAGTTGTACGCTTCGGTCTTCTTTTGGTTAGAAATTCCAGTTACTGCAGAAGGCTGGAGCGTACAACGGCTGAAACGTTGTAAATATGGTAATGAAGATGAGGATAATGTAACCAGATAAGGATAATGTAAATAACCAGTTTGTTTAGTATAGGGAACAGATACAAATTTATTCATTTTTTTTTTCTTTCTTCCTCAGTTTTTTTTCTGAAGTTATTTATTACTTTCTATCTTTTTCACTTTCTTTACACTTTGTATTCTAAAGCTTCTTTCTTTCTTTCTTTCTTTCTTTCTTTTGTATTTCTTCGTCCCCTTTTTTATTCAACGTATCTAATAATTTTTATTTTTTATTCGGATTTTTTTACAGGTTCATCCGTTCTTTCTTTTTTATATTCTTTCTTTCCTTTTTATTCGACGTAATCTATTTTGGACAGAAAAGCTATTCAAAATACCGTTCGATTATAATTTATTCATTAACATAGGTTCAGTCGATATTAATAACACCTTTGTAATGATTTAAAAGAATCATATTAAAAAGCGTTTTTGTGAAACTCTGAGAGAGAGATTGAGTGATTGAGAGAGAGAGAGAGAGAGAGAAAGAGAGAGAGATTAAGTGATTGAGAGAGAGAGAAAGAGAGAGAGAGATTAAGTGATTGAAAGAGAGAGAGAGAGAGATTAAGTGATTGAGTGATTGAGATAGAGATTGAGTGATTGAGATAGAGAAAGAGATTTAGAGATAGAGAAAGAGATTTAGAGAGAGAGAGAGAGAGAGAAATAGATTTAGAGACAGAAATTGAGATAGAGATTGAGAGAGATTGAGAGAGATTGAGAGATAGAGATTGAGAGAGATTGAGAGATTGAGAGAGAGATTGAGAGAGAGAGATTGAGAGAGAGAGATTGAGAGAGAGAGAGAGAGAGAGAGAGAGAGAGAGAGAGAGAGAGAGAGATTGATTTCCAGTTCTTCATCGATTTTTAAGAATTCGCCAATCAAAATGGTTCAGTAAACTCCGGAATATGAGATGTAGCAATATCTGCAGAATAAAGAATTTGTGGAATCTTTCCAGCCAAATTCTTCCAAACAATTTAGGCGTGACCCCTTCAGAATTGAACCGTACGTATCCGGATAGAATGTCATGCCTTTCCCAGTGATCAAATCGAATTTCGTGTCACAGTATTGTGCAAAAAATAAAGTTGAAATTTCTTAAGTATATCTTGAGGAAAGGGTGTTTAGAAAATCTAACACCCCCGGGGCCATAATGAAAGAAAGAATGACAGAGAGAAACAATGAATAACTTACCTAATACGTTTTTGTGAATGGATGGCAGAACAGAGTCAAAGATGGTTAGTAAGGCAACAAACTTTGCTTAGAACAATAAGCGAAAGGAAGTTGTGGAAAGACATGTTCGCCAATGTCCTGAACCTACGCCGCGTATAAAAGAAACGCTGAAATGGTCTAACAGAAGATGTCTGTTGTAATCATAATATTGAGTGATAGCAACACAAAGTGGACACAAATAACATAATCCTACCAAACACTTACTATTACTTTCCTATGATAAGTTTGAAAGATTTTGTTTCCATCAATTTGTATTTTTGTGAAATATCCATTTTTTCTGACCAGCAACTAATCTGTCTCAATTTTGGACAATTTTGCGCTTATACCGAGTATAGATTACGGCTAATAATGCAAGACTCTTCGGTCAATCGAATTGAGTTCTCTGAGTCAAGGTGTGTTTATCTAAAAATGAATACGCTTAAATTCACCTTCATCCCTGCCGTGCGCCAACGGCTTAGTGGTAGAATTCCCGACTAACGCAAATTCAGTCAAGTTTCGATCCTATCTAGAGGCAACCGGACGTCTAGCCACACTGATGAGCTGTTGATAGGTCATAAAAAAACAAATTAATCGTATACTTGCAACTTTCCACCGTTTTAATCTTCGGACTAAGTATTCTGTAGTTTCTTTGGAATTTCGAGCCAAACACTTTATCTAATCTATGGGAGTAGATAGTTCTACCAACTCAAAGGTTTGAACTCATACCTGTCAAGTGGCTTACGGCCACATCATGTTGAAAGACTGGTTCCCGTACGATTACTGCTAAGCAACATCGAGCCTGGTCAGTACCTAGATGGGTGACCGCATGGGAATACCAGGTGCTGTAAACTTGGATGTGCGGGTGGTGTAATGGATAATGGCCGAGTTCCAATTCCCGTTGTATTTGTTATATTCACTTACGCGCAAATACTTTTGGGAAAGGCATGAATCCACCTTTTCTCCCTCCAATCTATGGGTTAATTAGTAAGACTTGTATCATTAAAACATTATTATCCCAAGAAAAAATTATTACAATTTAAACATATTTCTGGCTTTAAATAACCTTCAAAGGGTTGATAAGTTGTGGAAAACGAATCAACCAAAAATCCTACCTGCAAGAGAACGAGATTTATTTTTATCAATGCGTTAATCCACCCGGGGTAGATTGCTCTGTAAATACTCACTAATCTTATGCGCCTTTGTACCTTAAATATATATTATTAACAATATATATGTCTCTCCAGCACTACTAGTCCAAGGGATTGAACTCAAAACATTCAGGGAATCAACACTTTAATCAACGCAGCCATATGATGATTTTTTAAGCGTAGCTTAGATATAGTACAAGGCCGAATGTATGGGGCACCCAGTGCGGATCGAACTCACTACTTAGTCGTAATTGATGTAGCGGAACAAGCTTGCTAACCGTTACACCACGTCGAAGTGCTCAAATGATTTTGTAAGCGTATCTTGGATGTGGCACAAGGCCGAAAATATGGGGCAACCGCGAGGATCGAACTTATTATTCCTACGTAAATTGATCTAGCGGAACAAGCTTTCTAGCCATTACACCACACCGATGTGCTCCCCACGAGGCCATATGTCTCTTTTTTTCATATACTGAGATTCATCAAATACAGGGCTCGTGAGCCACTCAAAGTAGATGGTTACTGTTAAAATAATGATGGTGAACGTGGTTGGGATATGAATTAAAAAGGTAGTAGAAAGTGAAGATTGTGAGGATAAAGAAAATACATAAATATTGATACTTACTATGAAGAGATTACTGTATATACTCGTATATAAGTCGACTTCGTATATAGTGCTAACCTTGAATTCTTTTTGAGAAGAAGAAACTTTTTTTTTTCATACAGCTCGTGTATAATGCGACCCCCACCTTCTGAGCAATTACTAGTTGGCCTAATGAAGTCAAATATTGAAGTACTGGGCATGATCCTGGACACATAGTTATAGGAAATAAATGGTTAAGCTGAGCCAGAGGTACCGTAAGAAAGTAGGCCTGCCAGGTAGGTTACAGTCATCGAAAATGTATGAATTTTAATCCAACCCTAGAAAAAATTTCCCTGTGTATAGTGCAAACGCTCACCGAAAATACATGATTTTTAACCGTTTAAAAAAAATTACCTGTGTATAGTGCACTCCCTTATTTTTATTTATTTATTTTTATTTTGCATAAAAAATAATCATAAAAATCAGCAATATACTCGAGTATATACTGTATGATTGCAGTGATCAGGAGAGCACCCACGCAGGAGGCTGTTCTATACAGTGACAGTTCTTCAAAAGAAAACATCCTAGTGTTACAGTCTCCTTCGTAGGTGCTTCCCTGATCACTACAATCATACCGTATTTACTCGAGTATTTCGCTAGTTTTTATAATCAGTTTTTCCGTAAAACATAAGGTGTTGCAATATAAACAGGTAATTGCGCAGAATCTGGACTCGCAATTTTTTCTAAATTCCTTAAAACATGGAAGAAAATGATTGCGTTTCTCCTCTGTCAAGTAGCACACCGCGTGTGTGCTGATTGTAAAGGTCTGAAACGTTTCCAGCAGTTAAGAATTTTATAGGAAATGTCATAGGGTGTGTGTTCGGCAGACATCGAACGTTTAAACTTGTGTATGAGTGAAACAAGAAGTTCCTACTGAGACAAGCGTGGTTATCGCCATTTAAATACAATGTAAGGCTCTAAATATTCGGTATCATGTCTATCCCTGATTCGAATGGTCGCTGGAAGAGACTGACAAAGCTTAACTTGTTTGTTTGCTTTGTTTAACAGCATACCAACTCATTATGGGTTATTTAACGCAGAAATTTAATTTTCTTGCGAGCTTTGCAGTAATAAAATATGACATGTTATTCTACTTTCACAATTGAATACATGGTAGATAATATACTGTAGTGTTCATATACATGTTTGCGTGGACATCATTACTAGAGGCAGTGATATATGTGATATATGATATATTGTAGTTTTGTTGAAGTTATATTTTGTAATACAGTTTTATTTTTTTTTTAAATTGTAGAATATTATATGGATTAAATTCATGAACGTGTTCTTTCATGTTGGTTGATTTTATTTAGCGGCATATCAACATCTCTATGGGTTATTTAATGCCGAAATATAAATATTTTTAACGCAATTGTATACCTTTAAGTATAGATTAATTGTATTTTTTGTCATTTTCCTATAAACCGTACCGTTGGTCATTTTGCTTTAAATGTGTATTACTGGTAATTTTACTATAAATATGTATTTTTATAATTTCATAGGGTTTTGTTTTTGTTTGAGGAAGTAACTATTTGTACATAGCTGGGACCGTGACAGGTGCTAACACCCCTGATCAGGGTGGACCTAGGAACAGTTACAAATAAGACGTTCCACGCTCCTCAAAACCTTCAATCACCCGATCAGAGGCCTGGCTTGCCGGATTTAGCTTATCGTCATACCCAGGACTGTGAGAGGAAGACACGATTACAAATTAATAAAAAAAAATAAAAAATAAAAAAATAAAAAAAATACGTATTCCGAAATTAAAAACATCACTACCACACACTAATACATACACAGAAAGCACACACACAATTAAGCTGAAAATCGAATCATCCTTGATAATGGCTAAAGTTATAGCCGAAAGCGCTCGGAAATATAAACATTTATCCAGAAAAGAAAGTTCTTGTCAGAACACAAGAAAAATTAAATAAAAAACTTAACTGTAGTACATTGTCTATCGTTTTTAATGAAACATGCATAACATTATATATATATAAAATATATATATATATATATATATATATATATATATATATATATATATATTTATATACATCTCTCTCTCTCTATATATATATATATATATATATAAAATATATATATATTTATATACATCTATATACATCTCTCTCTCTCTCTCTATATATATATATATATAAAAATATATATATATTTATATACATCTATATACATCTCTCTCTCTCTATATATATATATATATATATATAAAAAATATATATATATTTATATACATCTATATACATCTCTCTCTATATATATATATAAAAATATATATATATTTATATACATCTCTCTCTCTCTCTCTATATATATATATATATATATATATATATATATATATATATATATATATATATATATATATATTTATATCTCTCTCTATATATATATATATATGTGAGACCACGACATAAACATAAATGCCGTTTTAATGATTCAGTAAACAAGTTATTCAAAACCTGTGAAATCAATCAGAATAATTGGGAGAATGATACTACCGACTGATTAAAGTGGATGAAACCGATTTACGAGGGAGGAAAGCTCTTTGGGGGAAAAAAAGTAGACAGTCACGTAGAGGCGAAAATGGCAGCAAGCAACGGACTGTCGATAGATGATGACAATACAATTTTTGCGTGTGGCCATTCCTTCCTCTTTCAAGCTGGTCCGACGAACCATATGAGTAGCCATACACGAAGATCTCCAACGGACTCACGTAAACCACTTTCCCCGGATTGATCCTGCCCAATTTGCAATAAAGTATGTAAATATTGATCCGAATTAGTTCCATACGTGAAATCTGACAGTATCAATGGACAATACAATAAGCTGTCAAAACTAGATTCTTTGTGTTGTCTTTGCAGAAAAAAGTGTAAATCCGTTTCAGGGATTAAGTATAATTTCACATCACATAATTTTTAGATCACTTGTACATATTTCACAGATTTTATTTATTTAGTTTCCACACGCAAATGCGTATTGTCATCATCCATCGACACCAAACGGAGGATTTTCGGACATCTATTTATATGAACATTTTTTCTTGTTTTGGTGTGAGGAATTCGTTCCCGAAATTTGTAAAAGTATTTTTGATACACTATATATAAATATATATATAGCTGGCCACTCGTATTCGAGGATACCCGTCTACTAGGGCGGTTAGCCAATACCTATTGTCGATTCAACACCTGTGCGGAACTTAGTTTCTGTGAAAGAGCGTGTTATTTAGCGTGATCAACAATTTGAACAAGGCCAGCACAGCTATCTACCCAATTTAACACACAAGGCTTGAGTCAACCCGCGGTATGTTTTTCAGACATTGGGATCGACGTCTCCAGTCTGATAACATTAAGAAGTGTCCTCCCCAACAAATCAACCATTGGGAAATTCGAACACGGGTCTCATGGTCAGAAAGCGAACGTTCTAACCACTCGGTCACGTGCCCATAATATATATATATATAGTAGTACGGATTTACACTTTTTTTCTGCAAAGACAACACAATGAATCTAGTTTTGACAGCTTATTGTATTGTGCATTGATATTGTCAGATTTCACGTATGGAACTAATTCAGATCAATATTTACATACTTTATTGCAAATTGGGCAGGATCAATCCGGGGAAAGTGGTTTACCTGAGTCCGTTGGAGGTCTTCGTGTATGGCTACTCATATGGTTCGTCGGACCAGCTTGAAAGAGGAAGGAATGGCCAAACGCAAAAATTGTATTGTCATCATCTATCGACAGTCCGTTGCTTGCTGCCATTTTCGCCTCTACGTGACTGTCTTTTTTTTTCTGTAACTAAGTTCCGCACAGGTGTTGAATGTTATATGTGAGATATATATATATATATATATATATATATATATATAAGCTTGAAGCAAATATCTTATTTACACTACATACTCTGCAGCAGCATTCTCAGCGCCTGGGAAATATATTGGCCTACCTTATGCCATTTTTAGTGTTTTATAGATATACATTTCCCTTTTGAGGAGTCAGTTATAATGTCGTGTACAGCATTCTAAGTACTAATCTGAAGTGGCAGTTAAGAATAAGTTTGGAGTACAGTAACATACGTTAATTTTTGCACAATAGTAGCAGCGGAATAAAGGAAAAATCTTTCCTCCTTGACAACGCAAAACCGAACACTGCAAGACTAACACAGGAAAAGGAAAAAAAAATGGATCTCGGCTTTTATGTTCTAAAACATCCTGCCTATACACCTGTCCTTGTACCAACCGATTCCTACATTTTTCGATCATTCCAAAAACGCTTTGATGTGAAAAAACTTTCTTGTTTATTAAATAAAAATTAGATTAAAGAATTCGCTGAAAAGTTTTTTCTCCACCAAAACATGCGGAATTTTACCGAAAATATCACCAGACAGTTGCATGACACCTGGCATATAAGTCATTGCAAATAGTGGTTAATAGAATAAAATTAATGTCTAGGTTTTTTTTTTAAATAATATTAAACACAACACAAACAAAAATTATCAATGAGTTAAGCTCGGCGAATAGAATTAAAAGGTCTTAATTTCTTTTATTAAAAGCTCACTTTGATGTAATTAAAACTCGTTCTGTTAACATGTCGCATTTTTTTAAAAATCATTTCACCCTAAGTAAGGCAATAACGCCACTAAGACTTAATGGGTTACTGGGAGTGGAAGGGAATAAGAAAACTTTAAGGAGAAGAAAGGACAATAAAAGAACAGAATTCAGGAACACAGAAGATTGACGTTGCATTTAAATTTTTGAAGATTGTAGGCGACATGGAAGCAAGAAACCGAAAGAGATTTGCATAGAAAAGAAACTATTCTAATAGAACTTACAGTTGCATCTAGCTATTTCAATAGTAAAACATATGAGACCTAATTGCCAATCTAGTAGCATGCTTAAATTCACGCAGTCGAGTCACCAAGGAGTAGAGTTCATTAGAATAACTACCCTGAAAATATTTATAGAAAAGACAGTGGGAAGCCTCGTCACGGCCCTGGGAATTTGACTGAAGTCGCGATGCCAGGTCAGGACCGATGACATTACAGACCATTCTTTGAATTTTTCTGAGAATCTAGACATATAAATCCAGAGCAGGAGACAAAATATGGCAGCAATATTCAATGCACGGCAGAATAGTAGATTTATAAATGTGTAAAATGGATTCTGGTACGAAAAATTGTCTGGCATGACACAGAAATTCAACTTTCGTAGCAGCAAACCTAGTAATTGCTTTTTTTAAAGTAGTATTTTCATCTGCAATATTCTTATTGTTTTTTATCATTTCAGTTCATGCAAGGCAATAAAGCCACTAAGAAACAAGGCATTACTGAGCACGAAGAATAAGAAAAAGACATATTATTAAGGAGCGAAAGCAATAAAAGAGTCATCAGGAAGACAGTAGATAACGATTGACATTGCATTTAAATAGAGATCAAAGTTGGCTGGAAAGGATGAAACCGGAAGTGAGTTCCATAAGCACGAAGTGTGGGGAAAAGAAACTGTGAGTATAGAATCTGTAGACGTATTGGGATGGCCATTAGATATTCCAAAAGCTGGACAGAGTATTGCGAGATAGGAGGATTTCTTTGATAACAAAGAAAAGAATACTGAGCTGTTACGTGACATCGGTTCTTCTTTACGGCAGAGAATATTGGACGATTTCCTCAAGGATCAAAAAAAGACTCGAATCAACGGAGATGAGGTTCTACAGAAGGATGCTAAGGATATCATAGACCGAGCATGGGAGCAGCGTGAGGTTGCAAACAAGGAGAAGACTTATACTTAATATCAGAAAGAGGCAGCTGAAGTTTCTGGGATACATAATGAGGATGGAGGGACTGGAGAATCTGATACTCACAGGTCGAACAGAGGGAAAGAGAGACAAGGGAAAACAACGCATGACATACCTGGCGGCCTTAAGCAAGTGGATGACAGAATGTAGTCTGGAGGAGGAAGCAAAAGGAAGGAATGTTTTGAAAGGACATGGCACATAAAAAGAAAGAAGGGCATAGAACTTACGGTTACATCAAAAACAATTCAACTGTAAATTGATGAGGACTAGTTGCCAATCTAGAAGTGCCCTTAAATTCATAAATTCTAGGTATCATTTCTGAGAGTTCCTCGAAGAATTACCATGAAAATATTTATAAAGAAGGCACAGGGAAGCTACATTACGGCAGTGGGAAATTGACTGAAGCCGAGATGCCAGGTCAGGACCAATAATATTGCTGATTCTTTGGATCTTAACTAGAACCCCTAAATATGAAGCAGAAGCACCGAACACTATGTGACAGCAATATTCAAAGCATAGACGAATAGTAGACTGACAACTATGTAAAATAAATTCTGGAGAGAAAAATTCTCTAGCACGACACAGTGAACCAATATTTTGAACAACAGACATAGCAATAGATTCAATATAATCTTTCCCCTTCATGTTTACCCAAATAGATTATTTTAGTACTAGTACAATCGGCTTTTATGATATTTTCCAGTGTCTATTCTACGCAACGGTAGGCAGAATCCAATTATACTTAAAACATGATTTTATCGTTTCTTTTATTGGTCGTTCCTGAGTTACGATTCGTCAGTCCTGGGTTTGATGATAAACTACATCAGGCAGCAAGGCATCTGATCGAGAGATTGGAGGTTTTGAGAACCACCTCTTAACTGCTGTTGTTCCCAGAGTCACCCTGAACAGAGGAGGTAGCACCTGTTACGGTCTCAGCTATGGGCAAATAATGCCCCCAACCCCGCAAACAACACTATAAAAGTATAAAAATACATATTTACAGTAAAATGAATTTCAATACATATTTAAAGCAAAAGGACCAACAATACATTTTATAGGAAAATGACCAAAAATACATTTTATCTGTAGCTAAAGGCATGCAATTTCGTTCTAAATAAAACGTTGGAACGTCTTATTTGTAACTGTTCCCAGGTCCACCCTGATCAGGGGTGTTAGCACCTGTCACGGTCCCAGCTATGTACAAAGTTACTTCCTCAAACAAAAACAAAACCCTATGAAATTATAAAAATACATATTTATAGTAAAATTACCAGTAATACACATTTAAAGCAAAATGTCCAACGGTACGGTTTATAGGAAAATGACAAAAAATACAATTAATCTATACTTAAAGTTATACAATTGCGTTAAAAATATTTATATTTCGGCATTAAATAACCCATAGAGATGTTGATATGCCGCTAAATAAAATCAACCAACATGAAAGAACACTTTCATGAATTTAATCCATATAATATCCTACAATTTAAAAAAAAACAAACTGTATTACAAAATATAACTTCAACAAAACTTCAATATAAAACACATATATCACTGCCTCTAGTAATGATGTCCACGCAAACATGTATATGAACACTACAGTATATTATCTACCATGTACTAAGTTGTGAAAGCAGAATAACATGTCATATTTTATTACTGCAAAGCTCGCAAGAAAATTAAATTTCTGCGTTAAATAACCCATAATGAGTTGGTATGCTGTTAAACAAAGCAAACAAACAAGTTAAGCTTTGTCAGTCTCTTCCAGCGACCATTCGAATCAGGGATAGACATGATACCGAATATTTAGAGCCTTACATTGTATTTAAATGGCGATAACCACGCTTGTCTCAGTAGGAACTGCTTGTTTCACTCATACACAAGTTTAAACGTTCGATGTCTGCCGAACACACACCCTATGACATTTCCTATAAAATTCTTAATAACTGCTGGAAACGTTTCAGACCTTTACAATCAGCACACACGCGGTGTGCTACTTGACAGAGGAGAAACGCAATCATTTTCTTCCATGTTATAATGAATTTAGAAAAAATTGCGAGTCCAGATTCTGCGCAATTACCTGTTTATATTGCAACACCTTATGTTTTACGGAAAAACTGATTATAAAAACTAGCGAAATACTCGAGTAAATACGGTATGATTGTAGTGATCAGGGAAGCACCCACGCAGGATGTGGTTCCACTAGGACGTTTTCTTTTGAAGAACTGTCACTGTATAGAACAGCCTCCTGCGTGGGTGCTCTCCTGATCACTGCAATCATACAGTATATACTCGAGTATAGTGCTGATTTTTATGATTATTTTTTATGCAAAAATAAATAAATAAATAAAAATAAGAGTGCACTATACACAGGTAATTTTTTTAAACGGTTAAAAAACATTTATTTTCGGTGTGTGTTTGCACTATACACAGGGAAATTTTTTCTGGGGTGAGATTAAAATTCATACATTTTCGATGACTGTAACCTACCTGGCAGGCCTACTTTCTTACGGTGCCTCTGGCTCAGCTTAACCATTTATTTCCTATAAATATGTGTCCAGGATCATGCCCAGTACTTCAATATTTGACTTCATTAGGCCAACTAGTAATTGCTCAGAAGGTGGGGGTCGCATTATACACGAGCTGTATGAAAAAAAAGTAAGTTTCTTCTCAAAAGAATTCAAGGTTAGCACTATATACGAAGTCGACTTATATACGAGTATATAAAGTAATCTCTTCATAGTAAGTATCAATATTTATGTATTTTCTTTATCCTCACAATCTTCACTTTCTACTACCTTTTTAATTCATATCCCAACCACGTTCACCATCATTATTTTAGCAGTAACCATCTACTTTGAGTGGCTCACGAGCCCTGTATTTGATGAATCTCAGTATATGAAAAAAGAGACATATGGCCTCGTGGGGAGCACATCGGTGTGGTGTAATGGCTAGAAAGCTTGTTCCGCTAGATCAATTTGCGTATGAATAATAAGTTCGATCCTCGCGGTTGCCCCATATTTTCGGCCTTGTGCCACATCCAAGATACGCTTGTTCTGTTAGATCAATTACGACTGAGTAGTGAGTTCGATCCGCACTGGGTGCCCCATACATTCGGCCTTGTACTATATCTAAGCTACGCTTAAAAAATCATCTATGACTGCGTTGATTAAAGTGTTGATTCCCTGAATGTTTTGAGTTCAATCCCTTGGACTAGTAGTGCTGGAGAGACATATATATTGTTTTAGTGGAAGAAATGGACAAGCGGTGCAAAGGCGCATAAGACTAGTGAGTATTTACAGAGCAATCTACCCCGGGTGGATTAAAACATTGATAAAAATAAATCTCGTTCTCTTGCAGGTAGGATTTTAGGTTGGTTCGTTTTCCACGGCTTATCAACCCTTTGAAGGTTATTTAAAGCCAGAAATATGTTTAAATTGGAAGAATTTTTTCTTGGGATAATAATGTTTTAGTGATACAAGTCTTACTAATTAACCCATAGATTGGAGAGAGAAAAGGTGGATTCATGCCTTTCCCAAAAGTATTTGCGCGTAAGTGAATATAACAAATACAACGGGAATTGGAACTCGGCCATTATCCAATTCCTGGCCATTATCCATTACACCACCCGCACATCCAAGTTTACAGCACCTGGTATTCCCATGCGGTCAGCCATCTAGGTACTGACCAGGCTCGATGTTGCTTAACAACAGTAATCGTACGGGAACCAGTGTTTCAACATGATGTGGCCGTAAGCCACTTGACAGTTATGAGTTCAAACCTTGGAGTTGATAGACCTATCTACTCCCATAGATTAGATAAAGTGTTTGGCTCGAAATTCCAAAGAAACTACAGAATACTTAGGCCGAATATTAAAACGATAGAAAGTTGCAAATATACGATTAATTTGTTTTTTCATGGCCTATCATCCTTTGCCGGTTTTTTAAGACCAGAAAATATTTCTAGATTGTAAGAATGTGTTTGGTGTTAATAATAATTTACTGATACTATTTCTACTAATTAACCCATATATAGGGGGGAAGAAAAAGTGGATTCATACGCTTCAGAAAGGTATTTGTGAAGGGTATTTCAATTCCGCGTTGTTATCTATTACACCACCCGCACATCCAAGATCGTTGGTATTCGACAAGGGGTTACCTATCTAGGCAGTGACTAGGCTTGACGTCAATGATCGTACGAATACGGATGTTTCAACGTAATCCCTGCAAGCACGTGAAACAGTCATGTTTGTCGGAACAGCAAAGCATTATATTCGGTATGGCATCGACTTACTCCTTTGGAAATATACAAATGACGAATGAACGTTGCTTAACGTTCGCACGGGAACTAGTATTTTAACGTGATATGGTCGTAAGTATGAGTTCAAACCTTGGAATTTGTAGAATTTTAAAAGAAAAATGTTGATATCCTGAGGTGAGATATTGTAATTATTTACGCTATTTACATTGTTCGGACTGTTGTCCTCATCTTTGTTTTCATATTCACAACGTTTCCTTTGTTGTACGCTCCGGCCTTCTTCAGGATATGTCTATACTTCTGAAGTGAGGAACTGTAATTATTTACATTTAAAATTCATACACTGATGTCCTCAAGTGCACATGGCACAGTGGATAAAAGCGTTGGTTGTATACAGTGGTTTGACCCAGAGTCACGACTTCAAGTCAGTTTTACAGCTGAAGTGAACAGAGAACTTGGAGAGTTGAGTTAAAGGGAGATAAGTGATATTGAGACACCTCGAAGAGACATGGCACGTGGAAGTAGAACAATCTACCCCGTTGGAGGAAATAAAGGGTTCATTTCGAAATTCCAATTACCTGAAGAAAGCCGGAGCGTATAACGGCCAAAACGTCGTGAATATGGCAACGAAGATGAAGACAACAGTCCGAATAATGTAAAAATTTAAAATATAGCGTTTCCACAACATCTGCACTTCTCCTCAGTGCATAATTATAATCAACGTTTACAACTTCCCCACCAGATATATATACTTCCACATTTTAATTGTCTTATCTAATTGATGGATAGATAGAAAGCCTAAAGGAGGGAACATATAATGAGAGGTTGAAATAACAAAAGCACACGAAAGTATATATATGTGTGTGTGTGTATGTGTGTGTGTATGGACCTCAGTGCCCTTTTTATATTTACATATGCTCTATCTCTGATATTGAGCACCTTTACCCATAAATAAAGCATAACTTAAAACTATATTTTTATCATTTTTTTTAAGCGTATCACCTCAAGCAAGGCGAGAAGCCACTAGGACGCAAGGGGTTACAGAAGATTTGGAGCAAGATCAGATAGGAGTGATAGAGGAAAGGATGAGGAGAAGGATAGTGGATAGATCAAGGCAACTGGAGATGTCGATTGACATTACATTTGAATAGTTGGAGATTATAGCTCTCAGGGAAGGGAGTTCCACAGGCGAGAGGTGCGAGACATGAAGCTATTGGAGTAGAAGAGACGGCTACATTTAAGAGTTTCGACAGTGACCTCCTGATAAACAGTAGAGTACTTTCATTACATTTTTAACCTATCACGCACATCAGAACTGCTCTATTTCTGACACTGAGCACTTTTATCCATAAATATAGCATACTTTAAAACTATAATTTTATCATTATATCTATATCTATGGTGTATTCTCCCGTCGTATGAGGGTCAAGCAGCTCAGTTCCTAGGAAACGACAGCCCAGACACCACAGCACATATGATTTGATTATAGTGGTGAAGGCTTTGTGCAGAACCAACCACACTTTTTGAAGGGCCAAATACAGAAACCTGTTGCACTAAGTGCCACAAGTTCCCCAAACGACCGTCCTCAGGTTTTGAATTCAGTGTTGTCCTTCTCCTAGACCAGTTGCCATCCAAGGCTATAGAACCCAGTCTATCCTGCTGTTTACCCATAGCTGGAGAGAGAAGAAGAGGATTAATACCTTTCCCAAGGGTATTAGCACGTAAGTGAATGTAATGGATTCGACTGGAATTAGAACTCGGCTCTCCGATTCCTTAATCCGGGCCTCTATCCACCGTCCCTTATATATATATATATATATATATATATATATATATATATATATATATATATATATATATATGTGTGTGTGTGTGTGTGTGTGTGAAGTGTTACATGTGTGTGTCTGTGTTTTAATAATTTCACCCAAAGCAAGTCAAAGTCACAAGCGAGAAAAGGAACTCCATAGAACTTACGGTTACACCTAGCCTTTCAACAATAAAACGGCGAGACCTAGCTGCCAATTTAGTACTGCGCTTAAATACATAAAGTCTAGGTAACAAAGGGGAAAACTCATCAGAACCATTACCATGAAAGTATTTATAGAAAATACACAAGGAAGCTACGTTACGGCGGCGGGAAAGTGACTGAAGACGAGATGCCTGGTCAAGACCAGGAACATTGCAGATTCTTCTCTGGGTTTTAACAAGGATCAATAAATATATAGCATGAGAACGAGACAATATGTAGCAGCAATATTCAAGGAATGGACGTGTATACATACATATATATATATATATATATATATATATATATATATATATATATATATATATATATATTATTATATTTTATGAATAGGTGTATAGAGATGTACATTTGTAGGTGTGTCATGTATTGACATTTTTTATATGACTACTTTAATATAGATGTTAACATGCAGATATAATAAAAATAATTGTATACACCTTTGTATATCTATGTAAATGTGGATGTATATACTATATTTGTATATGTAGATATGTAATTTGTGTGTATATGTATATTGTATTGTAAACTGCACATTAAATATGTATGTGTATTTAAATTATATGATTGTATTTGTATGTATGTGAGAGTTATTACGCCTACCTTGAATCTTTGCTGGCATGTGCTAATCAATTTGGGCCTCCAACCATTGAGCTCTCCCTATGTAGTCGGCTTCACACTGACATTTATATTGATATATTACTGTGCTTATAGAATGTGTTGGAAGAACATCTTTATAAGCAGCTCCCAACACAGTTTGGAACGGAAATACCAGTCGCTGATTTGCCGAAAATAGCAAGATTTAACACTGAGAAATTTGCTTAGTAAGTCCAGTGCTGACCTCACCAGTCCAGGGGAGTTGCAAATACACATGACATTTCTCTAGGACAGCCAATTTGGGTTTCTTAAATTGTGCCGTCTTGGGACCAATGTTTGACTGCACAATGTCCAATCGGTAACCATTATCCATTAACACCTTAGTCGCAAACTCAATCTCCGATCGTAACTCAGTTTGAAAACAATTTTTAACAGCTCGATGCACCGGCGTCATAATAAGATTCAGTTTCTGCTGCCTCGAGCAAAGAGAGCTCCAACGTGTATATAAACCCATGAAAGTAGGCTTGCTGTACACAGAAGTAGAAAAATGAATATCTAAACTGTGTATTAATACACGAAGAAACGCCAAAGCCATATTGTTTTCCTTTTCACGTGTGAATCTTAGAGCTGGATGCAATTCATTAAGTAACCTATATAACATAATTGGTTGATTGTACGAGTCCTTAACCTTTGCACATAAAATCCAGCGAATATGTTGGCCAGGACAGCCCCCAATGGACTACCCATGACATTACCGTTGATTTGTTTGTACATCATGCTGTAAAAGCTGAATTCTACAGACTCCGTGACCAACTTCATAAACTCAATGAGAACAGCCTCTGAAATAAGATGGAGGATAAGTGACTCCAATAAAAGATATCAGAATATGTATAAATCAATATAACTGTCAGGGAGAAGCTGGCTACATAGAGAGAACCTGAATTGATCAGCACGTGTCAGCTAAGATTCGCCAGGGCAGGTATGATAATTTGCATTAACTGGTGAATACATCTTTATCGTACGGGTTGTGCAATGTCACTTACCAGGGATTCTTTTACAATGGTCAGCTCTGATTAACATTAAAAATTTTAGAGGCTATATATATTGTGACCAGGCAGCCTTCTTTCTGTTTGCAGAAAGAGTGGTTGCTTGGTGTCAATGTAATAAGAGTGTAATATTTTTTCTTTCCTGCTGACGCACCGGTTGGTCTTCCTCTGGCTGTCTGTCGCTCTCTCTCTCTCTCTCATATATATATATATATATATATATATATATATATATATATATATATATATATATATATATTTCTCTCCTATTTGTCTTCCACTGTGTTTTTAAAACATTGCAAATTTTACACGCTTGTTTTTTTTTTCTCTCCCCTTTCATCTCCCCATTTTAAGGTGACTTTATTTTCTTTGCTCTCTCTCCCACTTATTTGTTCCTTGCTTATAAGTTTGTCTTTGTACGTTTGTTACACTTATTTCAACTTATCCATCTTTTTAGGAAGAAAATTTTGTAACCGTCACAGGTTGTTCAAATATTTATTGTATGAAGCATTATGTTTCTTTTGTTAGGTTTAAATAGGAAAAGATGTTAAAATTCAGAATTTTCGGACACACGTGTGTCCTTTCTGAACGGGAAATAAAATGTTGAACTTTGTGGAACTTTTTCTATCTGCACAAGTAGCGTACGCGGACAAGTTTTCTTTACTACACACACACACACATATATATATATATATATATATGTGTGTGTGTGTGTGTGCGTGATAAATTATGGTTTTAAGGTATGCCATTTATATGGGTTAAATTTCTCAATATCAGAGCGTATCTAAATGATAAAAAGTGGACATTGAAGTCAACACCCAGAGGCGAC